CCGATTTAGCTTTTTTGAGGTCGCAGGTGCAGGTGGTGCGAACGTGGGCGGAGCTTCCATTTCCCCGAGCTGCCAAATTGACTGCCGGCATTTGTTTTTGTCTTCAACAGACGCTGCTGACCAACAAGAGCCAACATGTCTGAGTGAGTCACGCTTTGCTCCACGCTTTACTGTCCGATGATTTTCTGAAATAATCCTTTTAAAAACGTTTTTTTATCAACTAAATAAATGTTTCAATGTTGATCTAAAGCTATCCGAGTAAAACAAAAACTCGCTCCCCGCCGACCAGTCATCATACATTGTACTTTGTGTCTTTGCTTTCACCTTTTTTTCCAGAAAATTCTTGTCACTTATTACGTGCGCGTGAAAAGATTTTTCACGTTTTCAATTGAAAAAAAAATTCCCATAACTTTTTTTTAAATATATATTTGGAAATAACTTGCACCTTTTATGAAAGCTGTCACTTTTTTGATCACTTGTGATGAGCTTTCAAACTTATTTGAGAGCATTCACAAGAGAAGGACTTTGGCAAAGGTGCAGTCTGGCATTTTTCAAGCGGCTCGCAATAGTTGAATGCGGCCCCCCCCAGCCCCCCCCCCCCCGTCTCTCATGATCATGCACGCAACACGCAGCCAAACGTATGTGAGCCACGTACAAGCTGACGTTAGCCGCGGCTGCTGTGCTGCTAGCACGGTTGAAAAGTGGCCAAGCATGAAATGTTACCGGTTTGACGTTGTATTTTGTGATTTCATACTTTTTGAAACTTTGTTCCAAAAAGTTTTCTCGTAAAAAAATAAAAAATAAAAAAAATTCTTAATATCTTTCAAAACTTTTCATAACATAACAAAAACAAGGAGAAGAAACTTTAGTTTTCCCGATAAAAAATTGGAAAATGAGAGCAATGTTCTTTTTAATCGTACGGTGATGCTACGCTAACTGTTAACATTCGTCAAATTGGACAACTCCCTGTCACAGTTCAAAGAAGATGACGTCCAGTCGCCGGCATCATCTCAAGGTGAGATTACTGCGCGAGCGATGCCAGCGAAGCTAACGGTGCTAACGATCGCGATGAATTTCATCGGCCTGCAGAGTTTGATGCTTCAGATCGCTGCCAATTGGATCGAGCAGGAGAAGAAAGACCTGGAGGTGGCCAAGGAGGTCTACATGGCCGAGACCTGCCCCAACCCGGACCTCAGTGGCGACATGGCCAGCCTAGTGGTGAGATAGACCGCCCCTCTTTGCTGCTGACCAATCAGATTGCCGTAAACAAAAAACTCCAACAAAAACAAACACACAACATAGACTTGGATGTGGGGGGGGGGGAAACATAAAAAACGTATTTGCATTAGCCTTAGCCGAGGTTTATTTTAATAATCGATTTTTTTAAATTGAACCATGAAATGGATTACAAAAAACAGTTTTCATTTTCATTCAAAACTAGGACGGCATTTCAAATTGACAGAGCAGAAAATGCATAAACATAAATGAATGATGATTTGGTAACATGCCAGAAAATCGACCAAAGCGTTCATCGTTCTCCAAAGTCAAAGCAGATGTTTGCAAATGTCTTATTTTGATTTCATGAAGGACCACAGAAATCGGAAAATATTTTCTGCTGGATGAGGATTTGGACAATTAGCCTTCAGTAAGCGATGATCAAAACAGCCGTTGGTTCATTCGATCATCGTTGAGTCGTCCATGATGAGTCGAAAAGTGTTTCGCCACTTCCGTAGCCAGATTGCGTGCTGGAGGAGAACGTGCGAAACTGTGTTCGCGGCATCATTCACGTTATGATGGCCTTGTTATGAGGGTTAGCCTACCGGCTAACAGGCCAAACGCAAATTTCTTTTTGCGTTGTCCTTATCTTTTGTCTCAATGCATGTGGAGAACCTGAGACACAAGTGTGAGCCCATTTAAATGCGAACTATTGTTCAAATTGTCATTAACGCTCACAGGCGAACAGACCGAATACTGCAGACGGTGAACCCGCAAAATAGCTTTGCCATTGTCAGAAGTGTTAACCTTTCAAAGATGCCAAACTGTGTTAGCATTGTGCTCGAGTGCAAGCAAGTCAAATGCAAAAAATGTTTCAGCGTTTTTTTTTTTTTTTTTCATTTTTTTTAAATTAGTTATAGCTTCTCCAAAAAACGCTCAGGTCACATGAGGAACTCTCGAAAGAGTGCTAGCATGGGTTTGCCAAAACAAAGGAGAGTGCTTGCATTCTCTTTAGCTTTTCTCCCGATCACAAGCGGAATACATGAGAAACGTTCAGTCGCCCGCTGCTCGAACCACATTTGAAAGTTCCGTTTGTGCCTATTTTGTCAGCGCTCACGTGAGCTTGTTTTTGGAATCGTTCCCCAACAGGAAATCTGCAAGAAGCTTCAATCAACCATCGACAAGATTGACGACGCTCGCTACGATGTGGAAGCCAAAGTGCTGAAGTTCGACATTGAGGTAACCGTCGTCGAAAAGATTTGCCGCCAACCTTGACGTACGAGTTGCGACTCTTCTGTCGCCGAGCTGGAAACTCGATCGAATTAATCAAATCCATTTTCACCACCGATATGAAGCGAAACCGTTTTTTTTCCCCCCCCCCCCCCCCCCATCCCTCGCCTGAAAAACGCTGATGGTGGAAGTTGTGTTCAAGCATCCTCTCCAAGTTCTTTGCGAGTGTTTTCATTTCGTGCTTGTGTGTTCCGCTGTTTATCTCATCCAATCAAAGACTGAAAGTTGATCCGCAACCGTGGCTCGCCTTGCCCACATTCGGGGGCATTAGCTAACTTAAATCGCTCCGTGTATTATTCCACTTTGCTCTGAAGATCACCCGTAACAGAACTTTTGTCTGGGAACGTGAAGCCCCCCCCCCCCAAAAAAATACAAATCGTCTAAGCCAGGGCTTGTACGTTAAAAACCTCGTTTCTCGTAAGTCAAGGCGGCACGGCGCTCAACGCAACATAGCTTGTGGAAATGTGACGGTTGCTCTCAGATCCAGGACCTGAGACTGAAGGTGGTGGAGCTGGCGGGCGTCAAGAAGCCGGCGCTGAAGAAGGTGCGCATGTCGGCCGACGCCATGTTGCAGGCCCTCCTCGGGGGCAAGCACAAGACCACCATCGACCTCAGGTCCAACCTCAAGCAGGTCAAGAAGGAGGTCAAGGAGGAGGTCAGTCAGCAACGCCGGCGCGAGCGCTTCTTCCGTTCCATTTCGTTCTGACTCCCATTTGGGTCCGCTTGATTTGAATCGGTGCCGTCCAAGGCGGCGCCTTTGATTACGTTTGCTTTCATCACGTTTGGAATCCATTTCTCATCGGGTACTGAATCAGTCGATGTGATTTCCTCCGACTCGATTTGGACTCGCTTCTCTGGCGTTCGGTCCAATTCGCTTGGCTTGAAGATTGGCTCCTGATCGGATCAACTGCCTTCAAAGTGGCAGTTTGAGTCCGTTCACTTTGAACAATTTCGCTTTTTGGTTCCAGCTCAGTTCATTCAAACGGGAACAGAAGTGGTTCCGTTCACTCTGTTTGCTTGGATTCCTTTTGATTTGATTTCAGTTCCACTCAATTCCGAATCGGTTCCACGGTTATCGAGTCAACTAGTTTGATATCTTTTGAATCGCCTCGGTGACGTTCGACTTAAATCCGTTCAGTTGATTTGATTCCTTTTGGTCCGGTTTCATTCCAATCAATCCGGACTCGATTCTTGAATTTGATTTGGTTTCAATTCGATCCATTAGAATCCGTTCTGTAATGTTTGATTCAGTTTGGTTGAATTCGGTGTGCCTGAGAATTGCTCCAAAATTGGTTCCGACCAATTCAGGTCAGTTGACTCGAAAGTCTGCTTTGATATGGTCCACTTGGATTTGATTTCATTTCAAGCAATTTCTTTTCAGACCAAATTTAAACTTCAGTGAAACAGGGCTTCAGTCCCGGTTCGAATTTGCAAGTAGGCTAATGTTAGCCTGCTCGTGCTAACGCCATCGCGTGCGCTTGTGCTGTTGTCCGCTTCAGCCCACAGAGGCGGTCGGCGACTGGCGCAAGAACATCGAGGACAAGGCCGACAGGAAGAAGATGTTTGAGACCTCCTAAAGCTCCAAATAATACATAGTGATCACTTTTATTCCCATGCCTTGGTCAACCCCCCCCCCCACCCCCACCACCACATTGGACACGCACAACATAAAGATAAAAACGTAACCGCTCGTTTGAAAAGGACTCATTTTATTCCTCCGGCTCGCAAAATTATAACGTGCTTATTGGTTTCCAATTTTCAAAATAGATTGTGGGAAAATAGCTCTGCAAGTACAATTTCAATGTGAACTAAAACATTCAAAATAATCAGCAAATCAATGAAAATAAGACGATCAGTTGTAAAAATTATGACACGAAAAAATAAGTGTAAATAGTAATCATTGAAATTGAAAATAAAATGTACTCAATAAAACGTCCACTCGGATTTCTTTTTTTTTTTTTTTTAAATTAAAGTATTTGGAGACCGCATGTTTGGGACCCCAACCTAAAGAGTCCAGCCTTTGCTCAAGAATGACTTCCCATCACCATCACCACCACACTGGTACATCATTGAGCTCAAATGGCATGTTAAAAATACCCCCAAAGACCAAGTGGTGCCCCCCTGGAAGCAGCCTCTGAAACCATAACAAGCAAAAAAAAAAAAAAAAAAAAAAAAAAAAAAAAAAAAAACAAGAAAAAGAAAACACACACAATTTCAATTTGAATTTAAGAAGCAGTCAAAACCACATTGGTTGAGACGGCCATTTTGCAAGGCTATCTTTATTCGTGATTTTTTTTTTTTTTTTTTTTTTGTCTTGTGATTCTGTATTTGATATAGCCAATGTACAACCGGGCTATTCTACATACACCGATGTGAAACACTGCTCGATGAATAAAATGTACTCGGTTGTCACTCCTTACATGGCACTGGTCTGCCAGAGGTCCAAGGTTCTAAGGTTTCCTCCACAATCTAACTTTAACCTTCTCGTCGGCCCTCTGGAGGAGGCAGAAGTGGTGCTTGGAGGGTGTGAGGAGACACCTCCGGGTTATTTTTGGGCCGTCGGTCTCCATCGGCACTTTTAGGCTCCCCGCAGAACTTTTACACGCAGAACCATCACAAAACCCACACATGGTGCTCCAGAGAGACAATCATGTTCAAGTCAAACTTGAACCTCATAGTGGAACATTCCACGCTTTCACAATCATGGAATTAAGTTTTCTCTCATTATAGTTGTTGTTTTTATCCAGAGAATCTTCTGGAAAGTCGCGCGTGCGCGTGCGTGCGTGCGTGCGTGCGTGCGTGCGCGTGTGTGTGTGTGTGTGTGTGTGTGTGAGAGAAATATTCCTGGAGGGTTTTGACATTGGATTTGAGGAATCGTGTCTGTTGAGGAAGGAAACATCTCCACAAAGATCCCCGTAAATAGCAGTAAAACGGCAGCTTTCAACCAAAATGGCAGACTTGTGTTTTTGGGAGACATTTTGTGGCTCTAACGTACAACAGACATGACCGTTCAATTTCATATTCCTCAGTGAAAGTCTTAGGTGACGAAAATAATAAAATCTATAAGATGAGTTACGATTTGTCAGAAGCCAAAGTACGAGCCCTGTGATTGACCCAAAATGTCTTTTCAAGCATGGCTTCTTGGGACTTTTGGTGTCGCTCCACTCATGGTTTTCAGTGAAACGGTCTTCCGAGAGCCACACAAAAACAAATCGTTTCTCTTGACCGGTTTGGACTTGATCGGTCATCTGGCGGGTTGTGAGTGAGGTTGTTCTCTCCAATGGACTCAAATGTGCACATTGTAGTGAGTGAGGTGTTGCAGCGCCACCTGTCGTAGGACGCGAGTGTGGACGTTGAGGCTCATTTGTAGGGGCGTGCCGTGTTTAGCCAGTAGAGGTCGTCTTTTCTCGTCACTTGATGCGTGCCAGGCTGAGCCACTTCCGCTCCGTGAACTGCCCGCCGCCACTTCCGCGTTTGAAAGCTGCGTCACGTGTCCGGCGCAACGAAGTCACCCAGTCTGACGTCGCACTCCGCGCTACCTGCCGAAGCGAGGGTCAACCGTTGCAACGTTATGTCACGGGAGTGATGAATAAACGTTAGTAAATCATGACGGAAGTGACGCAACAGCGCACGGTATGGCACCTGCTTCCCGCCGTAGCATCAGGCAAGAGCTACCAGGAAGTTGCGTTGGTGAGTCTCATCTCGTTGATGGTGCGCACTGACGATCAATTTTCGGAAGAATATTTCACTTTGTTTTTCTTTTTCTACTGCGTGGTGTGCTCAATTAGTTCTCTGATTTTGTTCTAAGCCCAGAAGAAACACATCTGCTTTGAAAGCCTGACGTTGAGGATTTCCCAAAGTGTGGCTATGGAGTACTTGTCAACAAACTTGCCCGTATGACCACGCATACACACACACACACACACACACACACACACACACGCACACACACACACACACACTTGAGAGTGAGTGCTGTCACCATGGCAACCTTTGTGACAACAAACTCCTGCCCAGCCCCACAATAAACACTTAAAAAACAACTGGAGCAAAACACTTTCTCCATCCTGGCATCTGCTTTCAATCGCTAGCAGATGAAAATGTTGGGGTGTCTGAGGGGGGCAGGGGGGGAGGGTGGGGTTACAGAGCTTTTGGGAATGGGGAGGCAGGAATCATCTTTCACCCCCCCCCTCCCCACACCTACACACGGGACGACCAGAAGGATGCTGAGCCACTCTCAATGGAAACCACATGTAGGACAACAGAAGGGGGAGCATTGGGGGGGGGGGGGCTGTGATGACTAAACCCTGCCTGCCCTCCACGCCCCCCCCACCACGCATTCCCACCCACCCTCCGACATTCCCGACACGCCGTGGAGGGGAGGGAAGAGAGTGAGCGAGTGGCAACAAAAGAGCCAGCAGCAGCCCAAGCGCAACACAAGTGCGGCGGAAACCCCACGGCAAGCCCAAAAGAAGCCCACAGGGAGCAGCGGCGCAGCGGCTCCACACCACTTCGGCCAGCCCGGACGAGCCCCCACGGGACAGGAAGAAGAAGCAGCAGCGCCAGGCAACTCGTGAAGCCGGTCGCCGCCTTCAGCGAGGAGCGACCAGAAGAAGCCCGAAGATGTCCGCCGCACTGCTGAGGAGAAACTCCAGCAGACAAGGTCTCCAGAACCTCATCAGGTCGGTCCGCTCAACTTTCAATGACGCCGTCGTCCGGATAATTGTGATGGATGACGCTTGATTGGAGTTTTCCTTCACAGAATCGTGTTCTGTCACAATGTACAAGTCATGTTTATTTCTGTAGACCTTCACCAAAATCCTCAAAGGGCTTCGCATGGCCACTGTTGACAAATAGCAACGACATCCCCTGATCTTCACTCCCAGGAGTGCCGACACTAAAAAAAAAAAAAAAAAAGAAAAACCCCACCAGAGCAAAACTACCAAAAGAAAGAGGAGACTCTTTGTCTCAGACAGAAAAGTTTTATTTGTAGCTGTTTACGTTCTTCAAGCCATTCGCAGCAGAACGTGGGTTGCTTTCACCACAAACGCCGGTTTCAGACCAAAAAGCGAGCCAGGGGAGAAAAAAAAAATTGTGTTTATTTATTTATTTTTTGGGGGGGGAAAAACATGCAAATGTGACTTTGACACCTACCAGCTTGGCTACCACAGCAACTCAAACCTAAAAACAAGAAACGGGAGCACAAGTTGACTCTGGGAAGAACCCCGGAAACAAGCCAAATGACCGCAAAATAGCCACTTCACACCAACAGCCTTTTTTTGGGGTTCTGCTCCCGATAGACCCGCAGGCCAAATTCCAGATTGTATGGGTGCATTCCAAAACTCTTGATTGAACTTTGCATGACTTGATTAGTCAGTGCTGGCCACTTCCTGGAAGCGAACGTTCAGCATTTGACGTCTCCTGCTGATATTTGTTACAGCGGGGCGATTTATTGGGAGAGCTTTTTTGGCGCGGAAGGTCTTTCGGTTTTGCCTGATTTGGTTGACGCCGACCGAGTACAAAAGTGAGCTCTTCATGGGTAGATGCTTAAGAAGTCGTCGAAATGCAAAAGAGAGGCCAAAGAGCGAGCCAACGGCCGCAACGCAACTTTTGGACCACGGGAGAACCCGAAAGAAGATATGGAACTCACTCCTAAGGAGAAACTGCACCCTTTAGTTTGCTTTCGGATGACTATCAGTATGTATGTTTGATGTTTGCTGCTTAGCGAGCTCCTGCTGGGATGACCGGGGGGGGGGGTTTTGTGTGTCGCAAAGGTTTTAGGCTTTCGGGGATTTGGAATACGCGAGTGCACAACACGTCGACCTCAATTTGGGGACAGGAGCGAGATCGTGGTGGTTTGCGACTGGATAGGAAGCGGTGCCGGTTTCAGAGGTCAAAGGTGACCCGCTCAAGCGTTCTCAAACCGCCACAGGGGAGAAAAAGTGAACGAGGAGCCTCCAAAGCTCAAAAGAGCAAACACAATTCCGCTTTCTTGATCACTTCACATGAAGATTTCGTGATCGGAAATCGTCACCCCAAACAAAGGAATTATGAGGGCCCAACAGATTAATCGGTGGAGATTTTCAACACACTAAAACACGAGACAAAAATAATGACATTTATAAAAAATGGATACAAAATATTTCTTGAGATATATATATCTTACTTATTATTTATTATATAAGAAATTGGTTATTAGTTTTATCTGAATCGGCCTCACAAAATCCACATCGATTGGGCCCTTGTAATTATTTTTTTAAAAATTGTTAATAGGCGAAGGTAACGTGTTTTACATTGATTAATGGTGTGCTGGAGATTGATCAAAAGCGTACAAATAAAGTCAATATGGCCGCTTTGCGCAAACGAGACGCGATGTCGTCACTGAGCGCCGCCCGCGTCACCGGGACAGCCAACGGCGAGTCAGTGCGACATCATCACCGAGAACGCCGTCTGTGGTGGGGTCACGTCTGAGTGATGAAAGCGGGAGGCGGGGCCAGGTGTCAACTCACCCATTGGTCAAACAGCCGTGAACGTCACCTTATCATCTCATCTCCGAAACAGAAACCAGGCGGCTGGTTTCCGTGGCGGCGCAGCGACGTCATCCCAATGGAACGACGCTGGATTTCTTATCAGTTTTATTTTGACATGTTTCAGGCATGGCTTTTATTTTGAAATGCTGCAGGAGTTATGCAGCCCCCCCACCCCCAAAAAAAAACCCGGTGAATGTGTGTTTATCTCATCGAGGTGATGATGTCATCCTTCAGGAAGCAGAACAGCTGTAAACAGACTGCAACCTATGACCCCCCCTCCCACACACACACACACACACACGCATGCGCAAACACACCAGACAGATACACACACGCAAACACAAATACACACACGCATTTACGATGCGAGCAGATAAGGGCCTGAGGAATGTTTTTTTTCAAGGCAGGGGTGTTATTAGATTGATTGACAGGGGATTGAGAACCCCACCCCACCCCACCCCCATCCGCTTCGAGCCCCCCTGCCTTCACTTGACCCGTCCCCCACTCAGAGTGTCTGCGGCTGAAGAGCATAAACACTGCACACTTGCTCTCATCTTATTTCCTGTTTCCTGCTTCCCCTTCCGAATGTCCAAGCGTTGTCTCTCGAGTCAGATTATCCGCGCGTTCTAGCGGGGGGGTGCACATCTCGCCATAAAAGATGATCCGCGACGGTTTTCGATACGTGGCGGGCGAAATGATTCAAGGACGATTTGATTCGATGCGGTTTGATTGTTGTCCGATTGGATTCGGTCTGGCTCCGTCCCAGAGGGGACGAGGCCTTTGTTGTCATCCATTTGAATCAAGTTGTCAATGTGCCATTTCCTTTCAAGATCGATCTCGCCAATAAACGACGATCTCCAAATATTTTGGAAAGTGGACTTCAAATGCATCGGCATCTTTAAAATCAATAACCGATTTCCCCATTCAAATTCCAGACGGTCTTCACGACGAATGGATGCGGTGTGTTAGCATGCCGAACAGGGCTAGCGTTAGCCTACCTCGATTGTTCGAATGTTCCGATGTTAGTTTTGTGCGACTTAGCTTGAATCGTAAAAAAGACTCTATTCGAGTGCTTCAACAACAATTTCATTCACTGTGTTAGCCTAGCGGGCGAGTTGCTGTTAGCGCACTTGGCCGAGGTGTCAAGACAACGTTTGGGCTTCACAGCTTTGCTTTAAAATATGCTCTGAATGTGTCTATTTCCATCCAAGTGCTGCCTGTGCTCGTGCTTTGTAGTCCCTCCAAGTTGAAAGTGTTTTGAGTTGAATATAATCTGAGCTCGTCGCACGTCGACAAATGTCTGGAAGACGAGTCACTACTCGTCACGACGTCCTCTCGTCTGCTTGCCTGGCCTGTCATTATTGTTGACGTCAACGTTGCATCATTCGGCCGATGACGTCGCGTCTTCGGGGACTCTTCAGACTTCTCTTCACTCGTCTTTCGTGTCTACAAACGAGCCCTAACACGTCATTAAAAAAAAACAGAACACGCAGATTGGTCTTGGTGTGATCCGCTCGTGGCGGCGAGGTGGCGGGTGCAAGTCAACACGTCGTGCGCCCGGAAAGGCATCCATCCGACCGAGCTGAAGGCATCTGATGTGGTGGCAGGTTGACCGCTCAGAGGAGCGTCGAGGACGCCGAGGAAGCGGAACGCGAACGCAGGAGACGAGCCAGAGACCAGTCGTGTCGCAGGAACAGCGACGCGGCGCCCGCCGAGCGCGCCGCCGACCCGACGGACGACCAACACGCGTAAGTCGTCTCGCGCACGAGCGCACGCACCAGCTGGTGTGACACAACTTGCAAAGAATGTGCATGACGTCGCGTCTGCCGCAGTCGTCGCTTGCTCCGAACTTGCCACCCTCCCTGGCTGGCGACCAATCCGGGCCTTGTTGATTGCCGTCGTCTTGAATGGTTGATTGCGTTTGGAGGATTTTCTTTGCGGCGATTGTTGAAAACAAATATCGACTCGCGCTCCAGCTGCCGTTTGAGCGAACAAAGCGAGGCGGACTTGCCATGGTCGAGATAACTGACCTCGTGGACCAAAGCAAGTGTGCGGCACGAGGCTTTTATTTGTTTATTTTTAACCCGGCCGCCGTGAGCCAAGTTGGGGACAGTCAAAAATGCTGAAAGTGGACCTCCAGGAGTATTGATGAGAAAAGGGATTGAGAAAATGAAGCGATATTTGATCGGTGTGTGGTAGTTGCCATTTTTTGCGTCTCGTCCCGGAGAAATGTTCGGAGCGGATGTGACGTCCTTTTTGAATCGTTTGCTGAAATCTTTAAAAAAAAAAAAAAAAAAAACCTTTCCAGGTGACCCTAGTAAGCCACCAGACTCGCGGCCATCTCGACCTCTGTCCACATCAAAGTCTGAAAATAACAAAACAACATTTTTTTTCGAGGTTGCGGGCATGACCGTCTTCCTCTGCGTCCGGTGGGCGCTCGAGCTTCATGTTCATGTTCAGCGTAACGTCCATCGAATCCCCCAATTCAGCTCCCGACGCCGTTTCTCCCTCGCCCAGATCGAAGCCTGGCCGCTCGCCGTCGCCCTCGCCGGAGGAAGACGAAGGCTTCGGCGACTGGACGCAGCGCCGGCAGCAGAGCGGACCACAGCGCCCCCCAGAGGGCGCCGAGGGATGGCGGCCGGAGGACGAGGACCGGCGCAACGGCGACGCCTTCGAGGCAGCGCCGGAAGACCCCCGCCCCGCCCCCTCCGGCATTTGGGCTCCGTCTTCCTCCGCTCGCGTTCGGTGCGGTGAGGAAGGTGAAGGCGGCAAGCCGAGGCCGCAGACAGACCGGCCGGATTCGCTCCGACGCAGTCAGGTGACCAATCGCGGCGGCCCACCGGCGTTTCTCGATCGGCTTCCAAGTTGACCGCGACTTGGCTTTGCGTCCGTCCGACTGTTTTGGGTTTCAGTTGTTCCTCTTGTTTGGTTCCTGGTGGGGTCTTGTGTGGTTCTTGGTTCTTTCTTTTTTCGGGTCCCTTCTGGTTCCCGTGTGGTACCACTGATTCTCGTCTGGTTTCTGTTTGTTTTTGGTGTTACTCTGTCGCAGTTCCTGTGTGCTTCGAAAGTCATCCTTGGGTGCGGCTCTCGTTTGGTTCCCACTTGGGTCTTGTGTAGTTTTTCAGGTCGTGGTTGTGCTTGCTTCTTGCGTGCTTTGCGTGTAGTTCTTGTCTGGCTGCTGAAGTGGTTGCGTCGTTCCCGCTTGGTTCTCGGATGCTTCCTGTTGGGCTCTTTCGTCTTTCCACTCTGGTTTCTGATTAGTTCTTGTGCCGGTCTCATGTGGTTTTCGAAAGATTCCTGCTTGGTTCTTGTGTATACTCTCTGTGTCGCTGTGTGTCCACGGCCTGGTTGTGTTTTTTTTGTGAGGTACGGTTCCGGACATGCGCCCCTGGCGTTGTGGTTCTCGCGCGGTTGTTCCCGTGTCGGTCACGGTTGCACTTTGTGGGGTTCCGGTGTCCAGGTGGAGGAACGGCAACCGACCCGAGTGCCATCCACCGCCAAAGTTTTCCTTCTCCGAGATTCCAAAGCGGACGCAGATGCCGGCCAACGGGAAGTGACATCCCGGCACACCGGCGACCAATCAAAGAGCAAGTCCCCCAGGTAGATGCTCGCACGCGACACACCGACCACAGCGGCGGAGCGACAGCATTGGCGTTCGTGCAGCAGGTGCGCCGAGCGGGGCGAGACGGAGGCCGGCCTGGAGGCGGAGCGTCGCCTGGAGAAGATCCGGCAGGGCCTCCGGGAGAAGGAGAGCCAGGAGCTGGAGCAGCTGAAGCGCCGACACGCCCGGGCCGAGCAGGAGCTGGAGGAGCTGGCGGGGAGGAGAGAGCTGAGGAGACGCCTCCGAAGCCAGGAGGAACGACGGCAGCAAGACGAGCGACGGCAGCGCCTCGCCAACGAGGAGGCGAGTCATGCCTCACGTCTCACTCGCTCGCTTTTGATCGGGGTCGGATTTGACCACTTTGTTGGAGGGGAGAGGGCTGTCCGCTTTGTTGATTTATCGATTCTTGATTGACGGGACGGAGGGGTTGATTGGCTCTGAATGTGTGATTGACAGGAGGAGCACGAGCGCATGAAGGAGGAGGTGGCGAGGAGGAGGATGGACGCGGCCGAGAGGATGAAGATGTTGAGCGGCGGCGACCCGCCAGAGGCCTTCAGCCCCGTCAAGACGCCCACGCACAAAGTAAATGGTTGCCCGGCGACCGCCTTTGTGGACTTTGTGGGGGCCAGCGCCGGCACCTTTGCGTCATGTTTCCGCGGCAACAAAAAAAAACAAGCCCTTCGCGTGTTTGCCCGTTTGGATAGTCCAGCTTGAAATCAAGTTAAATGGGTTGGGGGGTGGGGGGGGGGGTTCCAGGCCTTCTGAAATGGTTGGACATAAAATGTAAAAAAATAATCTCAATTCCGCCCTCACTGATAGATACGACGGGACAATTGATTAAATATTTGAATAGAATCGATATCAATTGCTTTTCTTGGCCTTTAGAATCAGTGAAAATGAAGCCCAAGACTGAACGTCGTTGAAAGGGATTTTCATATCGATGCAAAGAAGAGTAAGAAGAATGATAAGAAGAAGACGCTTCCTGATGATGTATGAAACTACCTCGTCATAATTTGGTCCACTCTGACGTCAAATATGTCTCTTAAAAATATGACAAATAATGATCAGAAGAACAATCATATATTTTTTTTTAATCAAATGTGCAATTGATCTATTTTCAAATGTGGAGTCAAAAGTAAATTCTGCGTGCTTGTTTTGAAATGATCCACCAAAATTGCTCCGACTTTCCTGCCACCGATAGAATACGAGAGAATCGATTTTGATCCAATGGTCATGTTGATTTTACAATCAGCTCCACATACACTGAAATAAAAATGGATGATTGTTATTATGATGATTGTTATGTACCCGGCGACCACTAATTGCAAATGAGAATCTTTTCTCAACGTCTTTCTCCGGCTCCTTCAAGATTTCCCGCGTTTGTCTTGTGATTCGCAGATGACAGAGAGGACCGAGTCGCTCAGCCGCTCCCTGAAGAAAAGGTGATCGTTTCCTCCGCCCGCCATCCCAATCGGGAGGGTGGCGGGCGTGCCGGAGCTTCTCCCGGCTGTCTTGGGGGCACCCTTGACATTTGTTTGACTTTCAGTTTCACAAAATGTTTTCCGGAGCTTTAAGCCGAATTGCCGCGAGACGGGTGGTTGCTTCTGTGTCTTGTCGCCGTGGCAACAAGGTCAGCTTTTATTGTTGTCGTCGTCTTCAGTAACAGTTTCAAAAAGATGCCGGCGGTCGTCCTCGTCAGCAACATCGACGACAAGATGGAGCAGTACGCGCACGCCGTGGAGGTACGCCCGCACGCTTTGAGCAAATTGCAGAGATCGTAATTTGAGATGAGCGACAACCGATTTTTGGGGACCTCCAACGTTTGACATTGGCAAGTTGCTGACGGTGTCGCTCGGTGTCCAGAACTCTCAGGAACCTCGAGGCTCCAAGGCCCCGGCGACGAACCTTCCCAACGCGCTGGAGGCCGTCAACTCCAAGAAGGTCTTGTTCGAGGCCGGCGAGGCGCGGACCGGAGGTCCGCCCAAAACGACAACTTGTCGGGTAAGCCGTGCCCGAAGGCGGACAACTGGAGGCTCGTTGGTCTCCAAAGATGCTTTCATCAAAGTCGTATTCACGTCCAACTATCTGGCATGGAGTTCTTGCCCTGTTTGCGTCTCTGGTGGGTGGTCACATGGGGGGGGG